ATGCCAGATACCCCCCAAATCATCACTTTTGACACGTCGCTGTTTCTCTTTGTCTCTTTTGCGTATTTTAGTGCTTGTTTCAGATACAGACACACTCCATAGCTCCATTTTACATACACGCACGCAACTAAAAGACACGCACATTCATATACAGTTTTTCACAGACACAGTTTCTGATGCATACATACAAAAATACTTTGTACACGTGTACACATTTTTTGCCTTTGTGAAATGCATTCAGGTTAGTGAGCCAAATTTTACGTTCGCATCCAGTTTGTGTCAAAATCTTCCGTATTTGTAAATAATATTATTTTTTCGACTAGTATTTATGTAATCAAAATTTCGGTTTTTTATGTGATGAAAAACTACTGAAAGTTGATGAATGACATATTAGTAGAAAAATTTAAAGCTTCTTAAAAACATACTAGTGCTACAAGTGTAAAAAATAAGATCACAACTTATCAGACGGATGTAAAAATATAATGAAGCATCATATCGCCAGATTTATATAATTGCAGTTGGAAGGTTACCGTAGCCTAAATGGTAGGGAAGCTGTCCCTTTAAGAAACCTTCTCACGTAAAAGTGATGTGTCTCTCGCAGGAAGTTTATTATTTGGCGAGCAAAACAAGAACACCTAGCCATGGCAAAAGACGGGCTGGTTAATCTGGAAACACCTACATTGACCAGCTATGTTACGACACAGAATTGCGCCCTAATAACCTTCGGACCTTAATGCTGGACTTTGATCGTTGGCGTGACAGACTCATGAATGTTCGAGCTAGCTCATCCGAATAGAATAGTTAGATATATAATGTATAATATAATATGATATATGATATATTATATATAGAATAATATATATTATTCGACGATGTTTCATTAAATAAATTGCATAAAATAATATTGAGAATATCGATATACACCTGATGAAGGCTGTAGGGCACAACGGTTGAAACGTTGTGATGATAGCAACAAAGATGAGGGCAAAAGTCCGAATCAAAATTTTTTTTAGGTTTGGTCTGATTTTTGAACTGTTGTCCGATACTCTCAGGGTGTGCGGGTATTGTAATGGTTATCAGCGCCGAAATTGAAATCGGCGAGCCGAGTTCAAATTACAGGCTATTCTGTTAAGTTCCCTTTCGCACTAATGCACTTGGAAAAGGCATGAATCTGTCGCATCTCCTCTTCTTCAATGATAGGCTAAATAGAAGAGTAGACTGGATTCTTTGAGTGTCACGCGATCTAAGAGAATGAAAACTCTGAATTTCAAACATTGGAGAAGACAAGAAGAAATCCACTGCACGATTTTCCAATGGCAATTCACAGATAATAAAGAAAAAGAATTTGTGAAGAGCCATGATTATGTACATACTAAAGGGAGAAAAAAAAATGAATTCAAAACGTTGAATAAGTTGGGATCTACTCCATTATCTTTCCGAAGAAAGCGTGACAATTCACAGACAACAAACAAAATGATTCTGTGGAAGGCCATGAAGGAAGATGGTATTAAAAATCTGATATTAAATCTGATATTAAATCTGATACTATTTATGCAAACTAGTTTTTCTTTCATTAGTGTAATTGCAGGTTTTTCTACTTTCATTAGTATAAGTGCTTTTTTTTTCTACGACCGCTTTTTACGTAAAGAGTTGAAACCAGAAATAATACTAAAGTTGCCTGCGACTAGATTTCTTCTAGCGGCCGTTAGGCATGTACGAAGAATCAATGTATTTGCCAACATCTACCAACCAGAAGAACAGGGCTTCATCTAGTTATATAGCTGTTCCTAACACTCGAAAGATTATCACTCAAACAATCGTAGATACGAACGTCGTGACATTGGTAGCAATGAAATTGTGCTCATTAGCATTGACATCAATTGTATGCTTATATACATACATACATACATATATATATGTGTGTGTGTGTGTGCGTGAGTTGGTTATTTGTTTAATTTTTTTACCTACCCTTGTAAGTAATCTGGTAGCCTGAAAAGACATGGTAATTTGAAGGTTTTGTTGATATTATACAGAGTAATAAAGAGGAAATAACAAAGTATACATGTGCAACTGTTTAGCAACATACAATGGCAAAAGCGAAGGATATGGAAATATCGAAAACAGAACATAAATGTGTCAATCAGCTTATCGGAAAAATGGACAAGTTTTCTCTGGTTTGACGCCAAAGTTTAAAAAAAAATGGCACGATTTCATTCCAATTCTCTCTTGATCTCTGTTGTATCTGGAGATCAACTTTAAAAAATATTCTCGATTCCCAAGAGTTGGTCTATATAACCTATTCATATTGAGCGGCGATAAGTTGAGATTTTGTTGCCTTTTGTTGAAAGTGTATTGTTAGCTGTTTTTATAACTAGGCGAATATATCAACTTCAGAAGGAATGATGATTTTCTAAGCGTAAGGTATAAAATATGGGACAAACTGTAGGAATCGAACTCACGATTACAAAAAAAACACAAAAAAAAACAAACACAACTATCAGTTACATTAGTTTTTGTCTTAGTTATTCACCACCGAAGATGATCTTGGATGAAACTGAAAATACTTGGGAAAATAAAAGAAGTAAACAAAACTACGGCGTCTTTCTTAATCAGTTTTGTAACAGCACTAAGAAATTGATCCGTGAATTTGAGAGGATTAAAATAAAAATAGACATATGTCTAGATTATTCAAACATGCTTGAATGAAGATACGCTGCTTAAATATAGATATCTATATATATGCGTGTGTGAGAGAGAATCTGAATGTATGTGTGCGTGTGTGTGTGTGTATGTATTTGTGTTGTAGTTGGTCAGCAATGTATCGATGTTCCGGAATATTATTTTTATATCCGGTTAATATTTGTTTACATATTTGTGTGGTGTATTTATGTCTACGTACTTTCGGCTAGCATTAAACAAAAGAGAAGGATTGGTTTTTTTGGTTTTTGTTATGTCGTCGTATTCTTATTTCAATTATCGCGTTTCGTGTATTCACTTTCAAATTTCGCGTTTTGCGTATTCACTTTAAAATTTCGCATTTCGCATATTCACCTTCAAATTTCGCGTTTCGCGTATTCACTTTCAAATTTCGTGTTTCGCATATTCACTTTCAATTTTCGCGTTTCGCGTATTCACTTTCAGATTTCGCGTTTCGCATATTCACTTTCAATTTTCGCGTTTCGCGTATTGACTTTCAAATTTCGCGTTTCGCGTATTGACTTTCAAATTTCGCGTTTAGCATATTCACTTTAAAATTTCGCGTTTCGCATATTGACTTTCAAATTTCGCGTATTCACTTTCAAATTTCGCGTTTCGCGTATTCATTTTCAAATTTCGCGTTTCGCGTGTTCACTTCCAAATTCCGCGTATACACTTTTAAATATAGCGTTTTGCATATTCACTTTCAAATTTCACAGTTCGCGTTTTCAAATGTCTATTCGAATTTCCAACTTATCGTTTTATTTGTTTATTGAAATCTATTCAATGAACACCTATAGAGCAGTCTGCTCACACAGTAACGTACACTACAGCCTATTTCGTAACGTTTTATTATGTTGTGTTTCGGGAGTGTCTTTTCGTTAAGCTTTCGCCTGTGGAATTTCTTATCCAGGTACTAGAACGAATCATTTGGAATCTTAATAAGGACTAGTTTGACAGACAAGAAATTACTGTAAATATATTTTCTATGGAATTTACGTGAATGCAGAGAAGTAAGCACATGTTCCCGACAAGCTTTACGACTTTATTAAACATCGGAAAACTTTAATTTGAACAACGTATCATGACAGCAAGTGTGTACATAAAATAGTCAAAGAAAAAATTATTCTGTGGGTCGAAAAGTGGCCATGTGTATATTAGTAGGCATTAAGCATTACGATATCCAACAAACAGACTTCGAAAACAAATGTACCATTTACTGATGTACATTTAGAACTTTAAATATTCATACATCAAGAGATTGCTGAAGTTCTTAGTTTCTGGTTTCAAATAAAGTAGAAAGCTGACATTAGAAATTAGACACTTTGACATTATAAGATACAAAGAGTTAGTTTCATTATAATTAAATATATTTGTGATTTGGCGTAATGACATTTAGAAGACATTTTTTCCCTTTAAGGGTCGGTGGTTAAGCAAGAAAAGCGACATTAACAACGTTTCTGTGAATTTTCTTCTTTTAAATATTTATGACATTATATTGCGAAAGATTGAATGTCTTTTGGAAGGTCGATAGATGGGAGAAAAAAAGATTGTTTCGAAGAAAAACCTTAAAGTTTTACTGAAATTTAAACTTTGAATTTGAAATATTGTTTTTTTCATTTCATGAAAATGCTATTTAAAAACATACCCGAGAAGAAAAGAAAGTTATACAATCAGATCCTTTTAAAATAACATTGTCATTTACAAGTATTTCCATATATATATACATACATACATATATATATATATATATATATATATATATATATATATATATATATATATATTACAATGAATCATTCATACCAAAAGTAAATTAGAAAAGTTAATGATATGAAATGGAGAAATTCCTTCGCTAAATAAATTTTAAAGATGTGTTAACCTAATAATCACTCGATGAATGTTATAACCCTTGTTTTTTAAAATTATAAACTGTATTAGGTCTTCCTTAAGTACTTTCGACTGTACGTCCAGTCATCATCAGGCATGGAAATTATTTTGTTTTTGGTAAAATTCAGGGACATCCGAGATAAAAAAAATATATATAATGCGAATCGTAATGTTTTTTTAAAATGTGTTAGTGATAACGGATACAAACTTATGGAGCGTGCGATCGCAACGCTAAGGTTGAATTATATATATATATATATATATATATATATATATATATATATATATATATAATTTATTTGAAAATTATAACATAAATATGTTATAAATAACCTTGTGCAAATTAATCGAAACAAAAATGAATAATTCCGTTATTATTTTAATTTTTTTCGTATTTTTTCAATGAAAAATAGCCCAGTGCACATGTAAGTACTTTGCATGTCCTTTTCACGAAGTCGTTCCTTGTAGATTGACCAAAGATTCTCGACTGGATTTAAATCAGGAGAGATTCCCGGTCAGTCTATAGATTTGCTAACTGGTAAGGCTTGCCAGTGTGTTCGTGCAGCGTTGCAATTTTCGTACGCTTTCCTGCAGTAGCGTACATCGCAGACAATGCCCGTGGGACAACTAATCGACAGACGAGACAATAGTGTCTGGGCATGTTGAAAATCACGGATAACACAAAATTTTTCAAGGCCAAAAAAATTTCACCACACTCACTGAAAATAGATTCATATTACTGCACAAAACTGCAAATGACCTAATCTGAGAAAAAACAGAAATCGATTACACCCTGTCACTATAGAGGGTCGAAAACTGATCTATGGTGAAAGAAAGGAAACTAAAGTGGTTGTTTTAATTAATTTTCACAAGGGTGTGTAAATTAATTGAAACACACACACACACACACACACACACACACACACACACACACACACACACACACACATATATATATATAGATATATGTATATATATATGTATGAAAATTAGAGAAAATGGAAAACGGCAAACCTTGTTGTCACTAACTAAAATAGCCCCATCAGATATAAACAGGCTAATGTCAATATAACTGCTCAGTACAAATCACGAGTGGAGTGCAATAAAAAACACATCTACCTATCCAAAATCTAGAAGACTCTTTAAGAAAAATGTTGGTTGGAAACCCGAGAGTTCTATGTAAATCACATTACCTAAAACAGCTCATTTTAAGAGAGGCCCTGTACCTCAAACATCTCTCTCCCACCATCAACCTCACCTTGTTGAACAATGGAACCGGCGTGCTGAAAGTCTTTTAAAAATAGAAAGTCGTTCACTCGAATTCTAACCATGCCCAGCACGCGATGCCTTGAAATTAACTAATGTACATTTATATATTTATGTATTTTAATAAATGCACCACATTCAAGATAATAAAGCCATTAAGACTCAAGTTGTTACTGCGTGCAAAAAATAATAAAAAAGCGAAACATTATAAACTAGTCAGATCAAAAGACGAGTAACCAAGACGTCAGTAGACAATGATTGACATTAAATTTAAATTTTTGAACATCGAATTTGGCTGGAAAGCAAGAATCCGGAAGAGTGTTCCGCAAGTGAGAAGTGCGAGAAAAGAAATAAGACCTTGTCGCCAATCTTGTACTGATTATAAATTCATAAAATCTAGGTACCATAGCGAAGAGTTCACCCGAAAATTTACCACCAATAACTCCTCCTGCTGAGAGAGAGAGAGAGAGAGAGAGAGAGAGAGAGAGAGAGAGAGAGTGATGCTGGTAGGACTTAATATACACTGATATCGAAACTTTCAACTAATGCTCGTTATTAGCCTTATTCGGCATTCAGAACGTGTCGGGGAAATAAAACTGAGTATGGCTTTTACTCTAAGTGTTAAGCTATCGCCAAACGTGAAATATTAACGTAAAGTGCCCAACATTCAGTTACGAATATTGATTAGTACCTGATAGTTGATTTCCGCTTCCAACTTTTGACCCGTTCTGCCTACATGGTCAGCATTGCACTGACATCTGAATTTGTAAATTACAGAATTGATCTGATGGGTACGCAGAACATCCTTCCGGGTCGATCACAACATAGGACGGACAGTAAAAGGAATACGTGGACTGGCGGGGAAAATAACATGCTTCTTACATCAACTGAAATATGCTTAATAAATCTCGCACGCATCTTCCATATATATATATATATATATATATATATATATATATATAATATATATATATAAAATAATGATAATAGTAATTCCGCGTATTGATATGGGTCAAATTATATAATTCCCCGTATGTCAAGGCAAACAGAATTTCAGTCAATAAATTGCTCGATAGTAATCTCGAGCAATAATTATTGAATCAGAAGTTATATAAAATACACTATATAAAAAAAGATCAACTTTCATAGTCATTGCGACGAGGATATGAAGGATTGTATAAATTGGAGGATGTTTACATTATTCTGTGATTTTTATTCTGTTCACCGATTACAATTTCCTTAGTAAATATCTATCTATCTATCTATCTATCTATCTATCTATCTATCTATCTATTGACTAGGCATATCTATCTATTGATTAGGCATATCTATCTATATATCTATCTAAATTTCTCCATATCTATGTTAAGTTACTTTACCTACTGACCTTTATATCTATCTATCTATCTATCTATCTATCTATCTATCTATCTATTGACTAGGCATATCTATCTATTGATTAGGCATATCTATCTATCTCCATATCTATTCATCTATCTATCTATCTATCTATCTATCTATCTATCTATCTATCTCATTCATCTGTTCATCTATTGATCATATCTATCTATATATCTATCTAAAGTTCTTCATATCTATATTAAGTTACTTTACCTACTGACCTTTTATATCTATCTATCTATCTATCTATCTATCTATCTATCTATCTATCTGTTCATCTATCTATCTATCTATCTATTGACTAGGCATATCTATCTGTTCATCTATCTATCTATCTATCTATCTATCTATATCTATCTATCTCAGTCTGTTCATCTATCTATCTATCTATCTATCTATCTATCTATCTATCTATCTATCTATCTATCTATCTATTGGCTAGGCATATCTATCTATCTATCTATCTATCTAAAGTTCTTCATATCTATATATAAAGCTTATCTAAGTCACTCTATATTTTAGGCCGGTCGACATTAATCTCACTGTGGAAACAAAATAGGTTGGCGTGTACCTGCAATATATGTAAAGTTTGAAGTAATTGACATTTTCGAGTAGAAAACACTATACGAAAATCACCTATTTATGGCTGTTCATGATTGTTACATAGAAATATACCGAAGATATGTCGGAATAAATCAACGAAAACATTTGCAGTTGTCGTTTTCATTAATGTCTTCCTTTTCATTTCCCAGAATTCTTTACATTTATCACATTCGCCACAATGCAGTTTTAATTTTCCATCCAGCAATTTCGTTCTCAATCATTCTAACTTTCATCGGCCTGCCAGTCATTCATCCTTTCTAATCGTCGAAGTCAGTCTGCAGAGTGAAGGTTGTCCATCAGGAAAATCTAATAACATCCGATCTTCTTGAGTTGTGCTCGCATTTAATTGGACAGTAGAACTTTTCATAAGCCGATCATCTTCATCAGCGGTTAGATTTACTATATGGAATTCAAGGGAAGAGAATGGTATTTGACTGATTTCGATTTCTCGATGAATAAGGAAATTCGTCTATAACTTACTGACTCTGCTTGCTTGATTAAATGTTGTGCATTTTCGTTCAGTTTAGTGCGTATGTACTACTACTGAAATAGGTCGATGTTCGACGCTAGATTAAGATTTCAAAATGATTTTCAAAGCAGATAGGCATATGTAGCGTTACGGTATTAAATTGAACATCTACTGCGTGGTACTGTCAATGGTCTCGCTCCGTCAGTGGATTAGCACGGGAAAGACAACTCAACACCGCCAACTCAACACCAGCCGACTGAAAACCACAGACTGAGCGCCGGGACAACTCAGGACCGAGACATACATAACTTTTTTTTATAACCGAATAAAAGTAATTTACTAAAGATTAAAACTTAATTAGTTAATATTGTTCTTCAAATAAGTCATTTTGAAAAGGCATGTACCAGTTTTTGTTTTTAATTATTTTTAATAAAATAAATCTTAAAGAAATTTATTTTTTAATCAAGTGAATTGGCATATAAAAATAATTCAATAAAATAAAAATATTTTAGAATGTCGATTTACTTTATTAAAAAATAAATTACATTACGATTCACTTAATTAAAAACAAAAAACTACTTCATTTTGCTTTGCATTTTTCGAGTTATTTTATTAAAAAATAAATAAAAACAAGTGTGTTTTATTGAAGTATATTTTATGTCAATTTACTTTGTTGTGTTATCTCAGTACTGTTATCTCAGCGTCTAGTCAGCGGTGTTGAGTTGGCAGTGTTGAGTCAGCGGTGTTGAGATGGCGGTGTTGAGTCAGCGGTGTTGAGTCAGCGGTGTTGAGTTGGCGGTGTTGAGTTCGCAGTGTTGAGTCGACGGTGGTGATTCAGCGGTGTTGAGTCCTGCACCCAATTAGCACGATATCAGCATATTTGAGATGAAACTTTTTTTTTCAACGAAAAATTAATTTAAAGAAATTTCAACTGCTTCATCCTGGTCTTAAGCACGACTTAAAATTGATAGTTTGTCCTTTCTTCTAGCTTTTATTTTTTATTTTGTTTTGAGGTACCTGAAGTCTTATTTCTCTATCTGCACTCAACAGGATATCATCTACATATCTTTTGTTGTTAGGATCGTGATCCCCAATAATAAACCCTGGTAGGATTTTAGTTGCCTTAATATTGCGTCGCTGTAAACCCGGCGAGAAAATAACATCCTGTCTTACGCCCATTTCTTTTATTTTTTTACTTAATTAGTGTTGTTTATGTATGCAGGCGATTTGTTCCTAGTAGATATTCTGGATTATCTTTCTCGAATATATCCGACTCTAATTTGTATCACATTATGATTTGGAGCAGATTTACGATGCTTCGTCCAAATGTGAGGACAAGAGCCAGAGCTGATCCGGATTTACTGAAAATCACTTGAAAAAAAAAAAAAAAAAAAGGAAAAAATCAAAATCTCCCATCATGCTTTGGTCAGTAAAAAATTAGGAAAATCAGTACCATGTAAACCTACTGCTTTCGAATGATATCAAATTTAGGTTTGTGACTATTAATTATAGGTTTATGATTTTTGGTTTCCGAATGCTAATCAAAGTACTAGGAGACAAGAAAAATTCAGAAGGAACAAAGAGAGGTGAACAGTTATATAATATCAACCCATTTGTATTGTATCTTCCATCTTCCCGCTGAAACGATATGTGACACAAAGTCCGGTTTAATGTGAGGTACCCAAGCATGTACATCTGTTTCAGGGGAAAAAAATTGTCCTGACCCCGCAGCTGTCAATTGCACTGGCATCGATATGACTACCGATTCCCACTCTATACAGCAATGAGGGGTTAAACCGCGGCTAGCTGTTCTCTGGTACCGGTCATCTCGCAGTATTTTGTCACAGCTGCGCTCGAAGACGCAAAGGAGAGATAATTAACCTACCCGGAAAGTGCCACGTACGTATAATAGTGAATGCTGGACAGTCTCTACACAGACCAACAGACAACTGGAAGCAACAGAAATATGGTTCTACAGAAGGATATTGAGAATGCTACGGACGGAGTGAATAAAGAAACGACGTGTATTAAGGAGAATGGAACCAAAAGATATGTTGCACACATAATGAAGAAGGATGGCTTGGAGTATTTGACACTGACAGGGCATATCAAGCACAAGAGGGACAGGAGGAGGCAGTGAGTCAACTACCTGAAGAAATATGAAAGTATGGCGGGTTGACAAAGGGTTAAACGTTGTTAAACGCTACAAGGAATAGGTTGTTGTGGAGAGCCATGGTCACTCATGTTTTGAAAGAACACATCTTATAGAAGAAGTAAAATTCTTCTAGATAAGGAGCTCATTCCATACAGGAAAATTGTCTCTCGATACCAGATATTTTTGTGTTAATTACTCATATATAAACTCCCGAGAATATGTTTTGTATTTTGTTTTAATTTGAGGTCAATAGCTTATGTAGATCCAAATTTATTGAAGAAAGACAAACATAACTTAAAATGCGTCCCGAGAAAAAACAACCCCCCCCCGAAAAAAAAAACACACACACACAAAATTTTACGGAGTATCTACCCTAACATTTTAGTCTGTAACCTTTCCCCACTAAGGTGTTACGATAGAAGATTAGTATCATCATGTCCATTCTAACAACATCAAGATTACGGCCACATCACGTTGAAACACTGGTTTTTGTACGATCAACGAAAGTTAAGCTACATCAGGCCTGGTCACTAACTAGATGGGCTGCCTGTGAATAACAGGTACTGTAAGCTTGAATGTGCGGATAGGGTAATGGACAATGTCTATGAATTTGGTTTCGTTATATTCACTACATCTGGAAAGGTATGGATCCATCTTTTCTCCCACCAGCTATGGGTTAATTATTAAGATTTGTATCACTAAATTAGCCCCCACCCCTAAAAAATTCTTACAATCTAAAACTATTTTCTAGCTTTAAATTCCAACTATATCAAATTTAGCTTTGTGACAAGGTTAAATCCTAATACTAATGAAGGTCTAAGACGAAGCTGTCGTTATCAAGAATATTCTTGAAAGCAAAAACTCACTCTCAGATAAGGAGAAGAAAAAAAAATTCTTTGTAATAAATTAATAATGTTTTTATAGTCAGATGGAAGCCATAGTTAACAAAGAAAATGATAGGGAAGAGAGAGAGAGAGAGAGGGGGGAGAGAGAAAGAGTGAGAGGGTGATGGAAATAGTTACAAAAGGAGAAAGAAACCATAGAGGTGGAGAGAAAAGAGAGAGAGAGACAGATAGACAGAAGAAAGTTAGACAGAAAGACAGAAGCGAGAGAGAGAGAGAGAGAGAGAGAGAGAGAGAGAGAGAGAAAGAGAGAGAAAGAGGTTGAAAAGTAGTAATAAAATGAGAAAGAAACCATAGCGGTGGACAGAAGAGAGAGAAACAGAAGAGAGGTAGAGAGAAAGACAGAAGAGAGAGAGAGAGAGAGTAAGACAGAGGGGGTGGAAAGAAGTAACAAAATGAGAAAGAGATCATAGGGGTGGAAGGATGAGATAGAGAGGGAAGAGAGAGAGAATGAGAGAGAGAGGGAGAAAGACATGGGAGAGAAAGACAGAAGAGATAAAGAGAGAGAGAGAGAGTGGAAGAGAGAGAGAGAGAGTGGGAGAGAGAAAGAAATTGTGAAGAGAATCAACAAAACGAGAAAGAAGGCATAGAGGATGACCTATGTCTACATATTTCTGTCGTATAAACAGGACTTATGTCCAGATTTTTGACTCTCGTGTAAACTCTGGCAGTGTCTACATTTTCTTTTCGTAAACTTACACTAGTTCAACACAATTTAATCCCATACAACCCTACATTTAGATAAGTCCTTTAATATCGCAATATCGCGTGACAAAAGAGGGAAATGACGTGCTCAAAGGACGTTGACTCATATTGGGTTATATGACGTCATTAAAAGATGACAGGACATGATCATGAAGTTCTTCCATACGCAACGTATTAACCAGAATGAGCACTAAAAATCGTCTCGTTCCATGTAACAATTAATTTAATTTGTGTTAGCGAATCAAATCCTGAAAGGTTCCTCTGCGATTTATATAGAAAAGCAACAAAAATACATTATTGAATAATGACGCTACAAATATATATATATATATATATATATATATATATATATATATATATATATATATAATATTAACTTAGAGGCGACAGTCTGTTTCATACTAGATGCAACCCTCAGTCCACGAGTGCTCCGAGGATTGCATCTAGCATGAAAACTCGTGGCTTGGGGATTGCATCTAGCATGAAACAGACTGTCGCCTCTAAGTGTTGACTTCTATGTTCACTTTTATATTTACACACGCTCTATCTATGATATTGGGCACTTTATCCCATAAAATAGCACATCTTAAGACTATATTTCTTTATATTATATATATATATATATATATATATATATATATATATATATATATATTATGGTAATTTACCCACGCACGCATAGACTCTCCCTACTATAAATAGGAGCAGGTACTGCCTTTGGAGAGGGAAGTTTCAGCAGTCAGCTCTGAGAGTCGGACCAAACATTCTTGCTGTAACACTCTCGTTTGTATATGTTTGTATTACTGTTTCTGTTAGTATATTTGTTTAACTCAGTGTCTCTCTTTGTGTTTTTATTTCTAGCCCTAACAAGGACACAACAATATACATACACACACACATATATATATATAACACCCAAACAAATTAACCTATACAGATGGACATTTCAGCCATAGGTAAAACCATTTCCTTGGATTTGTCAATGCAAATATATTTGTTAAAAACCTTTTATTTTGTTATAAACCTTTTTTTTCAACAAATGTATTTGCATTGGCAAATCCAGGGAGATCCCAAACTTGACAGAGGACAAAGCAATCTACGCAACCTTGTGAGTGATGAAGTATTTTCCACGAAATTTTATTGGCGTATCTCTACTCTCTCGTTATCCCCATGACAATGTTCAGGCCAACTAAATTCCTTACAGCTAAGAACCGTAATCACATACACTGAGTCGAATCATCCGGATTCTCTTCATATTCCATTAGTAAGGAGGAAGTTACACCCAAACAGCTTCTTCTCAAGAATTGTTAGGTTATAACACAAACTCTAGAGTGGATGCTTCTCTGTTCACTACAATCTTAATCTCTTCATGTCGAGAGTCAACGTTTATCTATCCTACACATCCTCATATTATGAAATTTTTACTTCCTCTACTCATGCAATTACAACTTTATTCTATCGCCTTTTACTCTGAATAGATTTTGGGCCTCGGTGAACTATAGACTAAAAAAAAAACAGCAGACATTGCGCAAATCCGAATTGCCGCGGATAAGTAGAACCTAGATTGGCAAACAGCGGATGATGAGATCCTACTCCTGCTGCCACTACAATTCGTTCGTATAACTAAAGAAATTTACTTGTTTAGATGAACCCTTGCGTAAATCTGTTTTGCTGTCGAAAGAGAAAGATAAAAGAGGTCAAATAATTGGTTTAAGTGAACAGGGTAAGAAGCAAATGGACGAACGACATCGTTTCTTATGCTTACTCTCACACTTAATAAATGGTTGTCATTTTTTTTTCAGAAGATGCGAACAGAATAAAAGGCGTTCCGTGTCTGGCCGAAAGCTCTGTGGGTGTTCCATTATAATAGATGATGTTTGGGTGTAATTGCTTGAACATCCATATAGCCCGCAAGAAAGTGATGATTATGTTTTCTTTATAGAGAATTTGGGACTGTTTACCCAAATATTTCTGAGATCTGAACGAAAGATAATTTCAGATACAATAGTAGAAGGAGGACAAGAATTAATATGTGACTAGAAATTGGGAGTATGTAATGCAGAAGAAGATGGAGAAAAGAAAAAAGAAATTCGATGAGAAAGAAAAGATGGAATTGACAAACGAAATATGTATAGAGACAGGAAAAAGAAGATAAACATATGCAGAGGAAAGAAGAAAAAGACAACGATATAGAGAGAAAAGAAAAGGAAGAATGTACAGAGCGAAGAAGAAAAAGAAGAACATTTAGCCAGATAAGAAGAGTGAGTGAGAGTGGAAAAGGCAATTAGAATTTCAGAAAAGAGTATGACGAGGAGGAAAAGGATGATGAAAATGTAAGAAAAGAAAGAAGATACAAAATTACAGAGGATAAAAGAGGAGGAGGAGATGTGGGATGCTGAAAAGGAGAAGAAATGAAAGAAGAAAAAGAAGAAGAGGATGAAGAAGAAGAAGAAGAAGAAGCAATAGACAATATGTTCAGAGGAAAGAAGAAGAAGAAGAAGAAGAAGAAGAAGAAGAAGACGCGGAAAAGAAGATGAATAATATATACAGAGGGGTGAAAAAGAAGAGAAAGATGTACAGCGAAGAAGAAGAAGAAGAAGAAGAAGAAGATGATGATGAAGAAGAAGAAGAAGAAGAAAAAGAAGAAGCAATAGACAACATGTTCAGAGGGGAAGAAGAAGAAGAAGAAGAAGGAAAAGAAGATGACTAATATATACAGAGGGTGAAAAAAAAGAAAGATGAAAGAAGAAGAAGAAGAAGAAGAAGAAGAAGATGATGATGAAGAAGAAGATGATGAAGAAGAAGAAGAAGATGATGAAAAAGAAGAAGCAATAGACAACATGTTCAGAGGGAAGAGGAAGAAGAAGAAGAAGAAGCGGAAAAGAAGATGACTAATATATACAGAGGGGTGAAAAAGAAGAGAAACATGTACAAAGAAGAAAAAAGAAGAAGAAGAAGAAGAAGAAGAAGAAGTGAGGAAAAGATCAATGAAAATTTTAGAAAGAGAATGAGCGAGGGAGTAAGTATTTACTTGGACGAAATGTGGTCTATATTTAGGTGGGGACCGAAGCGCGTACACCCGGGACAGGAACAAAAATTCGAGCACCGATCCTTCCCTCTGGTGCAATGGGAGGGTGCTGCGTCGGGCTGCTGTTCCCCAGGGCTGGGCACCTCTTCAGTATTATTTTCCTCAGTTGCCCCTCTCTCCTTTGACAGAGAAGCCCCTGAGCGCACTCTGTCCAAGGACAGAGACGCAACTGAGAGATGATAAATAAACGTGACCTTACTCAAAAAGAATAAGGTACATGAGCGAGGGTGTAGAAGCACATGATGAAAATGTAAAGATATAAAGGAGAAAAGGTGACAAAGTATTTCAGAGGAGATACAAGAAGGTACGGATGGAGAAGACTGTAGAAAAGAAGAAAAGAAAGAGGGGTTAATGAAGAAAAAGAAAGGGGTGCAAATCGAAGGAGACAGAAAAGGAAGACATTCCTCTATTAAAACATATCCGGAAAAAAAAACTAATCTAATGGGTATAAGTACAGGGTACGATGGGTAAATTATCGCCATTTTAATTTCGCGCATGCGCATTGTTTGTTTTTGATTTTGTCGACTGCGCAGTATAGTAGGCTCAGTTGGGCACTGTCTATGAGAAAAAGACCACCATGACGCAATTCACTCCGCCAGAAATTTGGAAACATCATGCTGTACTGCTTGGCATTCACACCAGAAGCTCCAATACGAACAATTCATAATGTTTGGATGTCAATCTGAGGAGAGTACAGAAGATTCGGAAAGAGTTGGATGATATATCCAGTCAACATCATGGTGTTTGGAGTGATCACAAGTGATGGCGACGTTATGCTTCTATTCATTTTCTCACAGGGTCTCAGACTCAACACGGAGGCCTACATCAAGTGCCTTGAGAAAGTAGTGAAGCACTAGGTCAATAGGGTGGCCGCTGGAAGACCTTGGTCTAGTAACAGGACTCTGCACCATGCACAAGCAGGCGAATTTAGTCATAGCTGTCAGACAATTTCTCCATCCACATCACACCTGGCTACCTAACTCCCCAACCTGTAACCCCCTTGATTATTATGTGTGGGGCGCAATTGAGCGAGAGATAAACAAAACTCCCTGTAACAGCAAAGATGGACTGAAAGCAAGGATTATGGCAGCATTCACCAACTTAAACAAGACCGCCCCGAAGAGTTGCAGGAAATTCTGAAGTCGTCTCTTTAGTATTTCAAGATATTTCTGTGTGTAATTTTGGTAAGTATATCTCTCTTAAAATGAGATGTCAGTGTTATTTTCATATTTGCGTCATTTAGACGACAATTTATGTGTGTGTGTGTTATGTTTTGTGCGTATGTTCCAACATGTGAAATTCTGTGATGAAATAAATGCAGGTATATCAACTGTATTTTATGTCATTCTCCATTTAGCGGGTCTGCCTCACTAATTTGCATATTTAGTTTTTCTTTTGTCATGTAAGGCTTAAGATTCTACTTGTAACATGTAATCCAGTAAAACCGGCCACATGGACGGGTTATTGAGGTTTAAACAAGGGTCACACCACAGGATGAAAAAACAAGGCCTGATAAAAGCGGGTATGAGATTCTTATAGCAGCCAACGGTCAAAATGTATATATATATTTGGATAGGGTGCCGTCTCAAGACTTGAATGGCTACTTTCCTAGAGATGGTGGCTCGATAATACATTCGGTGTTGTTGGACTACTGTGTGTGTATCAGGTGTTAAATAGAGAATCATGTAAAGCCTTGCCTGGAATTATTATGACAAACCCTCTATCATGCAGGACCCACCTTGCTTTCCCAGTTCGACTTCGACAAAATAAATAAATAAATAAATAAATAAAACAACAAAACAAACAAACAAAAAAAAAACCAACTATGTAAGATGTATTCATGTAGGTTAAACAAACAAAATAAAAAATAATTAGCTGTTTTTTTATTACTTTCCTATCTGACATTTTGTAATATTTATAATTTAATTTGTTACTGTTTTATTTGCCTGATTCGCTCATATCGATAACTTTGAAAATCGGTCAACAGATATCTACGAGGTTTGATCCAAAAGTATCGGGACAGTTGCCATAGTAATGGAACTATATTACGCAGGGTGAAGTCACTTAGCAAAGTGTTGTGGTAGGATCCACCTAATTTGCATAGTGGAGTACCGACCATATAAATATGGTTGGTACCGGGAAGAGAGGGAGGAATCAAGAGATTCAACCAGAGACTCTGCCCGACTGCGACTCAGTCAACACATTCTCCAGGAACGGTCTTCCCAGGAATATACAAAAGACTATATGTAAATATTGTGTACACTTTCTTGTTTCAATACATTTTGTTCTAAGTACATTTTGTGTTGCATTATTATTCCATGCATTAGTCAAGTTTCAACATAAAGATTGACCGTTAACTCTATTGCGCATGCAAATTAAGTTATAATGTTCTTGCTCAATTCTGTTGTTTATAGCAGAGCTTGGAAGGAAAGTGTGGGCATCGATTCCTTGCATGTGAAGACAAACCTGTACAGAGCGAAGAAGAAAAAGAAGAACATGTAGCCAGAGACCGAGAGATAAACAAAACTCCTTGTAAAACCAAAGATGAACTGGAAACAAGGATTATGACGGCATTCACCAACTTAAACAACGAGACCGCCCCGAAGAGTTACAGGAAATTGTGAAGTCGGTTCCATTAGTGACCCTAGCTACTGCAGCAGTTTTTGGCCAAGGACAATATTCTTCAAGTCCTACAACCACCATATCGCCCATATCTCACCCTTTGCGATTTTTTTCTCTTTCCCAAAATCAAATTCCATTTGAAAGACGTCGAGAAAATCGAAGGGAATAGCTCCAAAAAGGAGTTCCAAGAATACTTCCATCAAACGACGCTAAATAAAGTTCGTGTGTTCAGAGTGGAAATCAATACTGAATCGATATTTGTTGGACTTTTCTTTTTATAGTACCAATCCCGATACTTTTTAACCAGACCGCATAAAGAACTGCGATTTGACTTTCCACATTGACTGCAGGACGTTTGACAAGCAGTGAATTTTCAAGATTCCATCAACCACTTCTTATATTTCTCTTGACTTCTGTAGCCTATTTTTCCGAGACTAACAAAACTCCTTGTAACACCAAAGATGAACTGGAAGCAAGGATTATGACAGTATTCATCAACTTAAAAAGGAGATTGTCAAGAAAAGCTAATAGACAGCTTCTGCTTGTCAACTAATGGTAGTTGAATCCACAGGAGACGATGTTCCTTTTTACATAAATCCTCCTATCTATTTAGTGAAAGTTCCGTTTTCTAATTGCCATAAACTCACACACACACACACACACACACACACACACACACACACACACACACACACACACACACACACACACATATATATATATATATATATATATATATAGCTAGCTAGCTAGATAGATAGATATATATATAACGTTGAAGCCAGTCAAAATATATCTTTTGAATTGCTATTTGCATGTCCACATTTGCTTTTTCTTCGACTGCAGAAGAAGGTCAGACAACCGGCACCTGCTCGAGAGTTGCGGAACCACCTCTTGTATTCCTTTCGTTTTTGTAACTTCATTTGCTGAAGGAGTGTTGCGAGGGAGAATATTTCTCTACAAGTTTGGACTCGACTGTCGGACGAAAAACATAAAAATATTCCTACATCAAGAGGAGTAGTAGTAGCAGTAGTAGCAGCAGTAGCCATTGCTGAAAACAGTCATTCGTGGCTAAACATACTCTTCTTTAGTTTCTATTCTACATTATGTTTTTCTGTACCAAAAATAATAAAACTGTTGGTTTTGATAACTCATTTACAACAAGAAGGTTGCCTGATAGATTGTTTCTTCTTGCACAATGATGGGGGCTGAATCCACGGGAGAGGAGGTTACTTTTTCCAGGAATCCACGCATGTATTCAGTGGCGCATAATTCCTCTGTCATCCGGTGTCTCTCTTATGAATTTCCAGTCATCCCATACTTATTTTAAAATCTGCGATTTTCATATACTATTGGAAGGCACTGTAACTGTTTTAACATTTATTCTGGTTAATATATCTAAGAAGTGTGGCAATCGCAGCTTCAGATATTGATGGCGTTTGCAGAAAAATTAATCCAGTCGATTTCTGTTCCCTTAACAATGTTCTTTGTATTTTTCTTTCTCTCTTTCAAATATCTTTTATATATATTAGAGCAGGTGTACAGATACGAGCCTGAATGTATATCTGAGTGGAGTATTGCCGATACAGTAAGTAGGCAGTGTCATGAAAAGAACTCTTTAAACAGATGTGGGTCGACTGTTAGTATAAACATCAATGGCACCGAAAGATATTTGAATAATTAATGATGGGAATTTCTCAAAAACAATGTGCCTCCAAAATGCGACATCCGTTTGCCTTGTCTTGTAGGACAGCGTTAATTTCCTGTCATTCAAATAAAAGCGACAGTGTTATTTGAATTACGATAATGGAGAATGAAAGTACCAAGGCAGAATAAATGTAGATTCTCCACCTGCAAAATATCTGCAAGGAAGGAATCAAAAGATTGCCATTAAATCATATATTTTCCTGTTCATAGTCGAACTAAAAAGAATGTGAAGATCAAATATATTGTCTTTCATCAATCCATCAATCTCCATATATATATATATATATATATATATATATATATATATATATATATAACATTAAGCATGATTGAGAGAGATATTAAATTAAACCCTCCCTAAACTTTACCATGTCTCTACCATGTCACTCTAACTACCCCTATTACAGTCTCTGTTAAATTACAAAAACTTACACTACCCATCAATTTTCATGTCATCTTTCGTTTCATTTTTGGAAGTGCTATCTGATGATCCGG